AATCAGTGTTTCCTCCAATATGTAGTTTATAGTTTTATACAAAAAATATTTTATTATTTAAATTCTTAATCTTAAAATAAACTTTTGCAACTTTCAAGACTTCATAAATTATCTTTAATTTTAATATATTATTTTAGTATGGATTTCATCCATATTTATTAATAGTTAGTATTACGCACACCTTACTAGTACTGTAATAGTAAAAACTTTTACCTAAACGAATATTTTAATAACATTAAATTTAAAAATTGACAATAATTGTATAATTATTTTTAAATAAAATATAAATATTACTACCAGTATATCACATTATGATCACTACAAAAATTCACTTTAATTTATATTTATTATAGTGAACATGATTATTATATAAATTGCATTTGTTAACTGAGATTTTGCAACTCTAAACCGTTATATAATATTAAATTGCCGGTATACGGTAGTTAGATGATTTCACAACCAGGGGTTTTAAGATTTCAAAATACATTTTTTAATAATTAAGGATTTAAAAAATTTAAATTATAAAAATTACATTAGGTAAATTAAATAAATTACAATAAATTACATAGATAAAAAAATATAAATTATAAAAGTTTTAAAGCAATTTAGTTGAAAAATTAATATAATATATTATAAATTTATAGAGGAAGGGCTATATTTTAATATGATATATAATTTGTCAAGACTGTAATTATGGAATAACTCGGTTTTTACCAAGATCAGAGAAAAAATGTGTCATTTTGAGAAATTATTATATAGAAGTAACTGTAAAAGTGTGCGAAAATTATTTCTGACCTTTATGTCCCCAAGGTACTATTAAATTCTTAATAATAATTAAATACTGTAAATCATATGATATTCATAATCAGTGATAACTGGCCTAAAAATGGACGCATAGATTGATCCCAACAATTAAGTCTTAAGCGCGCCTTAGAGTTGAAAATTTGCATTTACTTAAAACTCATACCTTATATATATATCTAAATAATTAAAATTAAATAAATTACTATTTTTAAATTGAATAATTTAAGCATAACAAGTACTTAGAAATCATATTAATCAATTTCAATTTAATACTTTAATCAATATTTTTAAAATACATTAACAATGTTAAACTATAAATTATATAAATTACTGTAATTAATTTAATTTAAATAAATTAAATCAAATAAAATATAAACTGTAATTTTTAATTTTTATTTATCATACAGTAATAAAATTGAATACAATCACACTAATGATATCACCAAGGCCAATAAAGAACAACATATAAAAATTATAAGATTTATATAATACTGTATATTAAATAAAATCTAGAATTTTTAAAATATTAAGTGGAAATATTGGGTTTAAATCAGTAACTGTCATCCAGTAGAAAGTTAGAAACAACCTTGTTGAACTCATCACTAAACTCCTGATGAATATTATGAGCCCCGCGTGGGAACCGGTAGAGCTCTGAATAAGCAATTTTGTCAGTTAGAAATAGTGGGTGCTCTTCAGGTAGTGGATCCAGATCACCATGAAGCACTTTTGGGTATTTCAAAGTTTATTATAATTATTTTAAAAACAATTCATATATTCATACCAAGTGTAGGACAACGAATTTGGTGGACATCATTCTTGCAAATATCATCCAGGTTTTTAATGTAATGGTCGCAGTGTTTATTCCACATGTCTTTCAACTCATTGCCATAAACGGCCTCAAAGTGTTGAAGTGTCTGTAGTTTCCATTTGCTTGGATCTCTGATGGCATGTAAGGCATACTTTTCCTGAGGCAATACATATGCATTTCCGCCCCAAATGACCAGTTTGTCGATTCTTGACTTATAATTGATTGCCATTATTAGCCCAGTCTTTGCCCCATCACTCCATCCCAACACTGAATAGCTTTTATGACCCATTTTCTGTATAATACATGTAGTGTTCAATAAATAGAAAATAGAAATTATTTAATATGTATAATATTTCTTATTTAAGTTTTGTATCAAAAAATACAGACATTCATCATTTTTGCAGCCAATTCAGCATCTCTTTGATAGACATCCTTATCATAAACCCTGGCCGGGGGTCTACTGAACCCATAACCGGGTGGATCCCAAGCAATTAGAGTGAAATCCCTTTTATTCAGACCTTTGTCTTCTAATTGATAGCTGAAATCGGTTTGACTCGTCCCTGAATTTGGTTACAAAATATACTTCTACTGAACCCATAACCGGGTGGATCCCAAGCAATTAGAGTGAAATCCCTTTTATTCAGACCTTTGTCTTCTAATTGATAGCTGAAATCGGTTTGACTCGTCCCTGAATTTGGTTACAAAATATACTCGTATTTCATAAATATTACAAATCCTAACATTACTTACCAATACCACCGGGTAGTAAGAGTAAGATAATTGATCCAGTACCTATTTTTTCGTAGTGTATTTTTTGTCCATCAACTTCTATCAACTGTCCAGGCATTTGTGGTTTTGTCATTTTTAATCTATTTGATCAGACACCTTTAAATAATAAGTAATAAAACTAAACTTTGCAACTTAGATGCACTTTGTGCTCAAGTTTTATAATATTTATATATCATTACCGAACAAAAGTAGACATAAATGTTTAAACTATGGAAAAACCTATACTTTACTATTAAATTTAATATTTTTATAATATATAAATATTTTCCCTTTTATTACTTAGTTTCGCACTTTATTTGAGTAACATTTTCTATTTAAAATTGGGATCTGTAGTTAAAAATATGTTTATCATATAATTTATTATTTATTATATAACTTATTATAATAAATAATTCTAAATATATTTATTTTTCTATTTATTTATAAATTATATTTATTTTATTAATTTCCTTCAGATGAATATGAATTTATGAAGAATTGTTTGCGAAATCTATTATGAAATATTTGCCCTATGAATACGATATGTACTAGAAAACTATTAAATTACAAATTATTCAGATGATAATAATATATTAATAATTAAATTATAATTATAATACACTAACTACAAATATCATATTTATTAAATTTATTGGAATTATTATAAATTATTGGAAATATGACTGTATTAAATATTATAACTTATAATATTCTACAGTATATTTCCATAAAATTCTACAAAGTGTACGAGTACTATCGCATTAATAATTTAGGTGATTTACCCACAAATACAAGTCAAACCATATAATTTATTAAAATTAGTCCTATAAGTTGGTCCAGGAATAGTTAACTAATATTATTGAATATATTAGCACTCAAGTAATGAACTCTATCTCTATTCGAGTAGGAATTCGGTGACAATCTTCTTGAACTCCTCACTGAACTCCTTATGACAGTCATGTCCTCCACGTCTAAAACGATGAAGTCTTGCGTCACATATCTTTTCATTGAGATAGAGTGGATGCTCTAATGCAACTGGGTCATTATCGCCGTGAATTACTAAACACAAACATATTAAGTAAATAATACATAACTAATTCTGTAGGACTATACCAAACGTTGGACATCTAATTTTGTGGACCTCATCCTTACAGATATCATCTAAATAGGTGTAATGATCGGCCAGTTTGTCGACCATTGCCTGAAATCCCTGTCCGTACTCTTTCTCATACAACTCTCTCGAGTCGGCCTTTATTAGGGAAACATTTCTGAATATATTTAATGTCTTTCTTTCATTGTCGGTCACCGTAGCCCCGGTACCCCACACGACCAGCTTATCAATTCGTGATTGGTATTTAATTGCCATCAATAGAGCTACCTTTCCACCGTCACTCCAACCCAGTAATGAATACAAATTATAACCTAATTTCTGAGAGGTTTAGCCAATGTTTCAATTTATGGGATTATATATTCAACTGATTTACTATTCAATACAAACCGCCATTAATTCTGCCGCTAAATCGGCGTCGTTTTTATAGACATCTTTTCCATACGCCCTTTCCGGTGGTCTACTATACCCATAACCGGGTGGATCCCAAGCAATCATAGTAAACAGTTTGTAGTCAAATCCCTTGTCTTGACTCAATTGAATACCAAAATCTGATCGACTCGTCCCTACATTTATTAAATTAAAAAAGTTTCATAATGTGATAACAAATTAGCATTATATAACAATTTACAGTACATTCATAATAAATGCACAAAACACCGTTAAATTGTATAAATTAAAAATACCTACCAATCCCTCCAGGTAGCAACAGCAGGATATTGGGTCCAGTTCCTACTTTATTATAATAAATATTTAAACCTTTAATTTCAATAAATCTCCCATTATCAGTAACACTCATATTTGAAAATTATTGTAATAAATTAAAAATATGTGTAAATATAAAAACTATTTTAAAATTAAAATTTATTTAATTTAATTTAGATTTTATTTTAAAATGTTCATTAGTTAGAGTGTTCTAGATTCTTGATCAGGCGAATTTTAAATTATTTATTTATAAAAATTATTTGTATCACCAGATAAGCCAGACCTGTTCGTATCATCAAATAAATATTTATTATTAATTTGTAAACAGAAATAAAAACATGACATTTATAATTTACTAAAAAATCTGTCAACATAAAAATGTGTTTAATGTCAAATATTGAATCAATTTGTAGACAGTAGTTTTAAACAATAAATTATACTTTTATTTATAAAATTACACTTTTAAATACTATATTACACTTTCTAGTTTATTATCCAAACATAAATCCAAGCGATTTCGTGAATCTATTTGCCTGTCTCTGCCATAACTTTAACATATCGATGGACTGTTTGATGACAGGAATACCTCCCGATTCCATCATTGATCTCAACTGATTGTTCACATCATAGACCATATCCTGGACATGGCTCAGATTTTCTCCAATCAGCCCAAACATACCCTGGTCCTCATCCTTCACGTACATTACGTTATCCACTGAATCGCTTTCACTTTGTTTTTCTTTAAGTATATGTGAAAGTGATTTTCCGTAAACACAATGCATTGCACTCAACACAATCAAAATCATGAACGCATTCATTTTGGTTTTTACAATATAAAAAACAATAAGTTTATAATCTTACTGTTAGTACAAAATGTGATTAGCCTTACAATATTCCGAAACAACAAAATCAAATATTTCTATAAATATAATTCAATTTTGTTTTGTAAATAACTTATACTGACGTTTGATTTGATGTAATAATTGTACTTGTTTTGAAAAATAGGATTATATGGGTACTTAATTACTTTAAATCATTTATAATAAAAATGACACAATTTTCTAATAAATACTTATGCATAAAATACAGTATTTGATAAATTTTAAGGTTATATAAAATAAATTAACAATTAAATAGGTTCAAACATTTAATTAAATTGTATAAAAAAATTTACACATAACTCATAATCTAACACAAAATATAATTAATTATAAATAACTTAGTCTTTGGTATTCTCAATGATCCAATCGATATATCTGGATACTTTAGTGTACACTCCGGGCATATCCTTTACAGCGCAGGGATAACCAAATGATACAATTCCTACGATTTGTATTCTGTTGTCAATTGGGTTCAGTTGAACCAGAGGTCCACCGGAGTCGCCCTTTAAGTTATTACAAATATTTAAAATTTAAATTTAATCAAAAATAACAAACTCAACAAAACACGAGTGCAATACATACCATACACGAGTCCTGACCTCCTGTACCACCGGCACATAATTTCATGTCATTAATTTTGACATACTTTTTGTAATTTTCAGTACACTTAGCGTGGTCATATATGGGAACGTCCAGTTTCTGGAGGAAGTCTGCCTGTCCAGCAGTGGCATTGGTCTGTCCAAAGCCAGACAGAGTGGCCACTCCGGCCGCTTCAAAGCCCTTCTCCGGCAGACAAACGCTGTTCACTTCATACTGTTTGTTGTCATTCGTGACGAACTCTATCTTTTCCTTCAGTTTGATGACCGCTATATCGTTGGCCTGAGTTTTCCTATTCCAGGCCGAGTGTAGTGTAAACTTGAGGACCGAATAGTTCGGTGTCTTCTCGTCTTTCATCTCATTTGAGCCCATCTTCACAATCAAATGCTTCTCCTTTCCCTTCAGGCTTTACATACAACACAACAAACATAACTATATGTTATATCAATCTCAAAGGACATGGATGACTTACATATCAAGGCAATGGGCTGCGGTTAGGATCCAGTGCTCGCTGATGACTGCACCGCCACAGAAGTGTTCAACATTTTTCTTCTTAGGGATATACAGCTGAATGGAGACCTGCCACGGGAACTCAAAGAGATCGGCGTCTACCCCGCCCACAATCCTACCCATACCCACAGCGCCAATCACTTTCTTTTTGGCCTTTGCCTTGATGTCAGTTCGTCTCAGACCACACGTGTCGTCCCCTTCCCCTCCACCCCCGTGTCCGCCACCTTCTGCAGAGTCCGGACCGGGACCATCGTCTTCAGGAGAGGCTCCGTCCTCTTGATTACAGACATACGTAGAGTTCAACACATGGTTTATTGCAATCATAAGACATTGTCTTATTATTTACTTGTTATAATGGTTTGTCGTATTTTATAATTAAAACAAGTTTTGATTATAGCTCAATACTTAATTATACGATTATTACTCACCAAATATTTGTAAAAATACTATAAATAATATGAGAATAAAACTTATTTTATTCATTTTGTCTCAATTAGATAAATGAAAAAAATAATATTATTTTTCTAAATATTATATTAATTACAGAAATTTTAATAAATTATATTGGGAGCCATAATTTTGTGTCCATAAGGTGCTATATATTTAATAATACATTACTCGTATTATTAATTTTGAAATTGCAGTTGATGTCACTTATAAATGCTTTAATTAAATTAAGTTTTTTAAATCAAGACATTAACTTGCTATTATTTTTCTCTTAGCAAATTTATAAAACAATAATATTATCCTAAAATATTATCTTAAATCTCAATGAATCGTGAATTATTATATACATTATTATATTTATATTTACAATTATTATATTTATATTAAAAAATATTTACAGTACCGTATATTAAAATTAAATATCCCAAATTAAATATAGATACACATCTTTAAAAATCAATTTATTTAATTTATTTAAAATATAATGTCAAAAATAACACAAAATTATTATTAATATTTTTATTTTAAAAATTATAATAAATATAGTTTTAAAATATCTACACGAAATTAATAATCTGTTACACAAATTGTCAAAATACTTGACTTGACTTTATTTAAAACGAGGACTGCTTTAGGGGTCATATCATAGTTTGTTTGGGACAGACATTGATGACTGGGTTTGTATATGGTTAATGTTTTTAAATTTTGTGTTCACATTAATTGGTTGCCAATTAAAAAATTGTTGATTAGACAACGGAATTGAATTTAACTGTGACTGAGACTGTATTTGTCCCTGATATTTGTTTGTGACAATTGGTGGAAAAGGAGAAATATTCCACCAAGGCATAAGGGGTGTTTTTATAAAGGGTATAGGAAGTGGTAAGGGATGTATTATTTTGTATGACTGATCAGAAATTTTTGAAAACATTGGAAGCATTGCTATAACTGAAGGGATAGGAGTCAACCATTTGACTAACCCATGAGATCTATGAGATTGCAAAAAGTGAGGTTGAGGTGGAAATGGAGGTAATATTCATTGAGTGAAGTTATGGGTCCTAAATATAGGTAATAGTAGTAATGGTAGTGCTATTGGAATTGTAGCTGGAGTAATTTTTGAATTGGCAAAGGAATTGGTTTTTATAACACGTTGGGAAGGAATTGTCTGTAGGAATGATGTGCTCGTGTGAACTGGATTATTAGGCAACTGCCCTGGTGATTTTTTTTGTTAGTCTCTTATTTATAATTAATGGATTGATATAAACAAGAGGTGTGATTGCATTTGAATGGATCAGAGGTTGGAATCTATAGTTTTTCTCAAGTGTTTAAACAAGTTGTGGTTTCACTGCAAGTCTAGAATTATAACTATTTTTTAAATTCAAATTTTGTTGAGATGTTTGAAATGAGTCAATGATTGGATAATATTGTCGGACAAAAATTGGCAAAAATCGCAACAGATATGGTCTTTGGATAAACCATTTGAGTGCATAGGGAGGGAATGGGAGGGCTTTTGGTATAATATTATTCTGTGTTTTAATTACAGAGAGTGGGGGTTGGAGGGGAACAGTCGGTTCTATGTCTTTGAGACCAAAACTATGGGATATCGGGAAAGTAGTTGTTATTTTGGGTGACGGGAGAATTGGTTGTGGTTTAGGCAACACCGGTGTGTTATAGAGAATACGGTAGAAATTAAATTTATGTAATTGTGGCAAGGTTATAAGTGCATCATGGCTATTACTTATTACAACAGGTGAATTAGATAGACTCTGTATCGGAATTAACTGCTTATACCTATAGGTAGGGTAACGGGGTGGTATCAGTTGAATGTTATAATTATTCTTGTTATTATGATACATTTGTATGCCTTTTAAATAGTAAACAGGGGAAAGGGGTGGTAATGGATGCAAATAATTTATTTTAAAAGAAGTTTTAGTTGGAAATGTAGGTTTAATTTGAGATGTATATGATTTTATTGGAATTTTAGGGATTACATAATTAGCCTGGTAATATGGTATCACTTGACTAAATTGGTAAATAGGGTCTCATATTATTAATTTTATTTAGATGTCTATAATATTTATATGTAGGGACGAAAGGTGAGATTGTATAACTAAATTCATATAATTTTGGGGGTATCAGGGTAATTGGCTTTTTATAATAATATGTTGAAGTAAGGAACGGCGTAACATAATTAAATTTATATGGTTGGGGCAGTCTAGGTGGCAATGGTATTTGATTATAATAAATATATGTAGGGCTCATGTGTTGAAAGAAATGATTGATTTTATAAGATTGAGGGGGTCGTGAGGGTATGGGGTTTGGGCGGTTATAATAATAATAATAATATAGGGGAGTAAGGGATGGTGTGACATAGTTATATTTATATCTTATTTGGGATTTAGGAGATGTGCTAATTAATTGTCTATAATTGGTATAATATATTGGAGTAAGGGGT